TATATTATATATATATATATAATAAAACCTCGATTAACCGCCCACAAATGGGGGGATGGGGCCGACGGATAATCCAAAAGTTTGATGAATAGTAAATAAAGTCTACAGAAATAAAACATACATTTTCAAAGTACCTATCCCTAATCTACCTCATTTAAGTCCCTCTATTCATTTTTGTTCATTTGCCATTCATATTTCAATAGAATTTGCTTTAAAATAATAGCCACTTTAGTCAATAAAAATGAACCAGCACAGAAACCGTAATAAAAAATGGAAAATTCAAAGAACATATTGCATCACGAAAATTGTGACCAAGTCCCAGGTTGCTGATCTGACTTTCTGCCTCATTTACACACAATTGCAGAGTCTGAATTATTTCTCTTACTTTTGACAACACAACATACATACAGGTATATTGTTTCTCACTCTCGATTTTTTTTTTTGCATTTCTTTATGGTTCTTTATTATTATTATTATTATTATTATTATTATTATTATTATTATTATTATCATTACATTATCGCCCCCCAGGCCCTGATGTGGGTCAGTGACCTGTGCCCGGATGGGCTAATCCCCGAAAAAAAAAAAAAAAAAAAAATTAGAGGTCCGGATCGGGACTGGCTAATCCGAAGTCGTATTAATCGAGGTTTTACTGTGTGTGTGTGTATATATATATATATATATATATATATATATATATATATATATATATATATATATATATATATATATATATATATATATATATATATATACAGTATATATACTGTATAAAATTTTCCTTGTCCCAATTATGCACATGCTAGTATGAATACCATGATATATGTGGCCATCTCTCTCCCTCTTCTCATGTTCGTTCACAAAACTTTTCGGGCTTCTGCATTGGGTTTTCTAATTACTCTCAGCACACAGGCTAGAGTTAAGTTTTTCTCTTCATAACTCTATTTTATTGATGTCCTCAGTAGCGGGTTCAGCCTTTCCAGGCGAACTTTAGAGAGGATGCTAGCCTTAGTGATCCTTCCGGACGCTGACCTTCTGGTCTTACTAGCAATCTAGAGTTATGTTGGGAATAACCTTGTATCCTCAATATGGGATATATGAGAACCATTCAGGGTGGAATTCTCTACCCAATACATCTTGCTAGAGTAATGGTGAAAGATGTTAGCCAATGGAGCGCTATGGTAGCAGCTCAGCACTGTCAACCCTTCTGGGTGACGATTCTCACTCAGGCATTTTTCGCTCAAGCTAATTAATTGAAGCGATGATGTCTGTGCACCCTGATTGGCAACAAATAGAGAGCTTGATGATCCATCAAAATATAAATGCTCTAAATGAAGTTAGTTTGATTAAGAAACAAAGTTCATTGAGCTGAGGGATAATTGAGATAAGAGAAGGGAGAGGTGTATGATATAGTGAGTTAGTTGTTTATGATTGTCATACTGGTGACTTATATAAAAGTAAGAGATATTAATGAAATAACTTACTAAAATATCACATCTGGGGGGGAGGGAGGTACATTTTTACTTGTGTGTAAAGAAATGTATATCCCCTTTATGTGTTTGCCCGCTTGCCCGTTTGCCCTTAGGACAATTATTTCTTTTACCTATATTGTTTACTGTATATGTGTGTGTGTGTGTGTGTGTGTGTAAACACACAAAACACATATAAATAAATAATAATGGGAAAATCCTCTCACAAATAATCAGAAACAAGAAAACAATATTTAGAATAAATGTGAGTCTACCCTCAAGTCAGCTCTGTGCTTTGTTATTAAAACTAACTTTAATTACAAAGCAAAAATGCCAGCAACTTTAAAACTACCCTTAGACATTCTTGGGTACATCCAGGTTGTCATCTGCGAATAATCGAGGTCCGCAAATTAAAAATCCGCGAATTGTCAGGGCTTGCTGCAGTTTATTTTCATTAATAATTCCTTTCTAACATTCTTAAGATACACTTACAACTGGTAATATGTACTCCCAATACTCCATCCATATTTCTCACTTCAAACACACTATACATCTTCAAATATTTCTTTTCACAAATCATTATTCATGTACAGTACTGCAATGCATCACCGATCATCATTTCCTTGTAAAACACTTTACAGTAAAGAATCATTTACAGTATCTTAAGCCTTGTATTTCCAATAGATAAATCTAAAATTTAGTTGCAAGGTTTTAAGAAAGTTAAATATAAATTTTTGCAAGTCAAGGTAAAAAAGACAAAATGAACAAGTGTATTAATTAAATAAAATTTTTAACTGGGGGAAGGGATGAACCAAGAGCCCACCAGACGGCTGGGTCCTTGGAGACACCCTTTTTGTATCGCTGTACTTTCTAGAAATTTTGTACTTCAACTGGGTTGGTGGTCTTTATCAATAATGGAGTATTTTCTCCTCTGAGATTACTACCAGTTAACTACAGCTATCATAACATTCCCAGCTTCAACATTAATGGTCTTCAGCACTGTTACAAAGAGATGGCAAATAGTATATGAATAAAAAATTACTATAGCATATAGACAACTTTGGTGAAATATAGTGAGTAAAAGTAACTCAGTGCATATTCACTATTGCAGAAGTAAATATGGAAACAAACAACAGGTAATTCCTAAGAAAATATTTTAATAAGCCATCAAAGACTTCAACACATCATCACACATTCCTTTGTTAACCTTACAAATACTATGAAGATACTTACCCCTAAACTTTATATGAAAGTAGTCATCACACCACTTTTTATAATCTGGATAATATTGAGGGTCATGGCGCTCACACGCTGATTTTAAAACACTATGAAAGTGCCTGACATCATCTTCATTAAGATAGTATGGAGTCAGGTCTGTACCACCTCCAAACCACCACTGTCATGAAAAATGGAAAAAAGTGTTCATAAAGATGCAATGAAAGAATAAGAAAAATAAAGGAACATGTGGAAAATACTGTACAAAGGCCAGAAAATGGAAAGATGACTTCATTAATAAAAATACAGCAGACAATCATGTAGAGGTGCAATGCAAATAAATTAAAGTGTAGCAAACCAATAAGTTGCAACACAAAGATACGTATCTAGAAGTGTGACAGATCATTGTGTACAGCGTTGTTATAGTACAGTGTCTATGTACCTAAACAGTCTCCCTTCATATGTTGTCCTTTATTCATTGCTACTACTGTAATAGATGTAATCTGCTATGCAGATATAGAGAGAAATCCACATAACTCTGCTTCTGTTAAGTTGGAATTGGCAATAAATCAACAGGAGCCAAGTCATGTTCTTAAGCTTTAAGGAAAAGGTATCCCTTGTTTAGCAATAATTATTTTTTTTACATCTATTCTCACTTAACGTTAGTTAAAAATCTGGTTTGGCGATAGCTTGACTCACTGGGAAGGGGAAAAACTGGAGATGAGGCGGACTGTGAGATGGCATGTTGCCATTGTTGCATGTAATAAAACTATAAAAGTTGTGAAAAAATCATTACAATACAGTATACTCTAATGTGGCTTAGGAATAAAGAAAATATAATATAAAATAGGTCATATGTTGCCGAATTAATTACTGTAGGGTAAAGACTAAAATCAAATAATGCAACATAAAAATTATAAGAACTGTATGTAATAAATAAAGAGCATGGATGTGTATATGAGTGAAGTGAACATATATGTGGAGGTAGTGGGCTGTAACTGCATCACGAGCCCCGCTGTGCTCCCTGACTTCTTCCCCAATGTGACTGTTCTGGCCCTTAACCGTTGATTCTTGATGAGTTAATGGAGCTGGAACATGTAAAAGTTTATGGGGTTTTTAGTAGCAAAAACCCAACTATCCATTCTTCATTTATTAGGAAAATAAATTATATATAGTTCCAAGTGTAAATACAGTATATCAAAGTAACATAATCACTGTAGCTGTGAGTGTTAAATGAGGACAGAAGCTAACTAAGATTAGCTCAACCAAATGCGTCAGATTGATGTGAGAGTGGGGGTGATAGTGAGTAGAGACAGCTCGAGGGAGAACTGAATATATCAGACGTCCTCCCTTGAGGAAAGACAGAGCACATCAGGGATGGCTCCAATAATGTTTTCTTTTTGTCAGGGTTATCAAACTACTGCACTCAATAGGTGGCCAGGGAGCCGGTTACTTATGCCTGAGCTTAGCACTAAGTGACACGCCTTCCCGTGGACACAACTTATCATGTGCTCTGAACATGAACCTCACAGATAGTGGAAAGTTAGAGGGGAGATAATTATACAAGACTAATATAATTAACCCACATTTATACAGTAAGTCCTCGCTTATCGTTGTTTCAGTACGTCGCTGAACTTTAAGAGACCAAAATTTCGTTTAACGTCCCGGTGATCCAATACTACGTCATTTTGCGTCGTCACAGACTACTCTCTATGGCGCATCACCCACTCTTGTGTGGCTGCACTGCGCTCTCTCGGCTCGGTGAGCTGCCCTCACTCGCGGAATGTCACAGCGTCCTCAAGCGACGCCAAGCCAGTCTCTGTTACGACTTCACTTCATTTGTGTGTGCTTTAGTGTTTTTGCTCTAAAACTGTACTCGAACCATTCGAAATGGCTTCCAAGTACCCATCAAGTGCTACTGATGCTAGTGTATTGAAGAGTCAACGTAAGACCATTACCCTTGTTACGAAAATGGACATATTAACCCGATTTGAAAAAGGGGAACGTTCTGTGGACATAGCTGCTGTGCTTTGTCTAACCCCCACAACGGTGAGTACTATCCGGACCAACGCTGACAAGATTAAAGTTAGTGCTGGAAGTGGTTCTTCTCTGAGTGCTACTAAGACGACTCGTACTAGAAGCACTGCGATTGAGAAGATGCAATGCAATGCTCCTGTGAGCCTTATGGTTATCCAGCATAAGGCCAGATCCTTGTTTGACGACTTAAAAGGCAGAAGAGGGTGAAGGATCAAAGGAAGAAACCTTTACGGCCAGCTGAGGATGGTTTCAATGATTTAAGTGCCGTTATAACTTCCACGACATAAAGATGACCGGTGAAGCTGCCAGTTCAGAGACAGTTGCTGCCGAGACATTCCCGCCAGAATTCAAACGGATTATCCAGCAAGGAGGCTACTTACTGAAGCAAGTCTTCAATGTGGATGAAACTGGTCTCTTTTGGAAGAGGATGCCAGAGAGGACCTATATTTCCAAGGAAGAGAAAAGAGCATCACGTTTTAAAGCAGCAAAAGACCGCTTGATGCTGCTGCTTGGCGCAAACGCTGCTGGTGACTCCAAGCTGAAGCCTATCATGATTTCTCGCACTGCTAACCCACGGGCCCTGAAAGGTTACTCTAAGGATCACCTTCCTGTCATTTACAAGGCAAACAAAAAGGCATGGATAACCGGCGCCATATTTAAAATAATAATAATAATAATAATAATAATAATAATAATAAACGGTTTATTAATAGAGATGCAGCCGGTGGCTGAAAATATACAGACTTACATTTGATTTAGACATAATGATATAATATGCATTGAATACATTTACAGGGCTGTACAGTACATAAATCAGGAGTTGTTTATTATTTTAACAATAGATGGGATGGTGCTATTCTTATATCTATCGGTGCGGGGTCTTATGGGCTGAATTTTGTTGTAGTGGCAGACTGCGCGAGGTGGGTGGGGGGCTGCCGGTGGCAGGAGGTGGCGATGACAAAGGTGGTGCATTAGTTGGCTGCCAAACCTTTTCAGTGCTTGGTGGTGGAGGTCACTGAGGGATGGCATTTCCAGGGTGGAGAAAGCGTTGGTGTAGCCAGAGTATTCTGCGCCGAGTATGATTCTGCAGTGGCTAAGCGTGTACGCCGTCCCTGCACTGAAGGAATACTGTGCCAAGGAGAACCTTAACTTCAAAATTCTTCTGATCCTTGACAATGCTCCAGCTCATCCTCTCAATCTCGACGACTTGCATGACAGTGTAAAATTTGTATTCTTGCCTCCCAACACGACAACACTGATGCAGCCTATGGACCAGGGCGTCATCACTGCATTCAAGGGGTATTATTTATGCCGTACCATGGTCCAGCTGCTCAAGGTTACAGACGGAGAAAATAAACCAATGATCCGAGAATATTGGCGCGGCTTCAACATTATTCATGCAATTTACAACATTGGCAAGGCATGGGAAGAGGTTTCAGAAAGTTGCCTGAATGGTGTGTGGCGTGAATTGTGGCCCGAGTGCATCAACAGTTTTACGGGAGAGAGCAAAATTTTTATATTTTGTGCAAAATATGACATTTATATTCAAATCATTCGCTGTCTTGCAAGGATTCCAGCAATACAAATTATACTATCCTAACTTTAGTCTGTGACATTATATAAGATAAAAACTTTAAGCCTAAAACTCCAAACCCAGGCTGGGAAGATGGGGAGGAGGGAGAGGAGGGGAGGGGAGGGGAGGGGAGGGGACAGTGACATGTTTGACAGTTGGCACCGAAGGTCTAGCGAAGTATTTATTTGTTTATTTATGTCCTTTAGCTTGAATTTAAGTTTTTTGCTTATAAAATGTCACAGAAATGACAAGAGAGAATATAATTTACATTACTGGAATTTTTATAAGATAGTGATTATTTCGAATATAAACATGCTACAGTTTGCACTTGACAAAAATTTTAGTAATCATTTAGTACATTACTTTGAGTATATGTACAGTACAGCTTTGCCCTTAGGACAGTGTAGCGTTCCCAGAGAAACATTTGGCGCAAAATTTTAAATATGATGCGCCAGATTGACTTGTGCAGGCAGGCCAAATGGTGATATGGTAATCAGGATGGCCTGCTTTGTCCTCTACCACCTACTGTGACAGCTAATGCTGTCACCCTCCTTTCTCTCCATGAAGGAGGTATTGCACATGTACTGTATACTGTACTCTACATACACCCTCTACACACCAGCCTATAGTAGGCATACACTGTCAACTTTGCTATATACAATACTATACATGTGATACAGTACTTTCACACTTACTGAATGTAAAGTACAGTTCTGTATACATATCGGTAATTACCATTTACTTCTTATCACTCCTTTAATGGTACTCTTGGCTAATTGTATCCTGGTACAGTTAAGTACAGTACTGCACAACACAGATCGCATACAAAAACACCAGTGAGCAAGTGAACAAACTTACACAATGGCAGCAGACAATGAACTAAGTGTCATGATGCAATAGTTTGAGGAGACAGGCTGTGAGATACAGGTGTACTCCATCAACCAAGGTTACATTGGCCAATGCTTTGCTTAACCGACGATTATATATTAGGGAAATACCCTGCAAGTATCGCTGACTACCCTGTTGATCCAACTTTTTGTATTATATGAGTTATGCAATCATACCTATACCACCCAGCGATACTTCCTCTTATGTTTAACCCATAAATGATTGAGTGTCTACTACGAAATAACCTTGGGAGAGGATTGCCAACACAGTTTTATGCCAGGGCGCTCCTGCTTAACACAATAACTCAAGGTACTGAATATTTGGACCCATATTCTGGAACAGGGTGGTAATATCGACAATATATACCTAGATTTTGCCAAGGCTTTTGACAGTGTACCCCATGAAAGGCTAAAAATTAAACTGGAAGGGTACGGGATTCGGGGAAATGTTCTAGCGTAGATCGAAGACTTTCTACATGGCCGCAAGCAGTGTGTGGTGATTAATGGCACGAAATCATCATGTGTACCAATCACAAGCGGGGTACCACAGGGCAGTGTATTGGGCCCGCTGTTGTTTGTTTGCTTCATCAATGACATGCCTGACGCTGTATATTCCTCCAAACAAATGTTTGCGGATGACGCCAAGTTATTTCAGAAAATTAAGAACCAGCAGACTGTGAAGAGCTGCAGAAGGACCTCTGTGAGCTCCAAGAATGGTCGAAGAAATGGCTGCTAAGATTCAATGTCACGAAGTGGAAGAGGATGCACCTGGGACGTACCAAAGGTAAGGAGGCATATCATATGTCCCAACGGGATGAAGACACTGCAATAATTGAGACCGAATATAAAAAGGACCTAGGCGTGTATGTTGGCAATGAGCTGAAGTTCTCAGGCCATTGCAAGAAGAAGGTAAATCAGGCAACTAAATTGCTAGGTTTTATAAGAACGTCGTTCAGATACCTGTATCTACACGGTCCGTACCTCATAACACTCTTCAAGAGTGAAGTGCTTCCCCATCTGGAGTACTGTCACCCCGTCTGGTCCCCAAGATATGCTAGGGACTGTTAGTTGATTGAAAATATCCAAGGGAAGGCCACAAGACTGGTTGCCAGCACTACGGCATTTCAGCTACCCTGAGAGATTGGAGCGCCTGAACTTGCCTAGCTTATACTACAGACAGGCAAGGGAGACCTAATTGAGGTATATAAGCATCTCAAGGGGCACTACTCAGTTGAGTGTCCTTACTTGGAGCTGGCGGACACTCGCCCCACAAGGGGTCACAGCTCAAGCCACAAGCCCAGAAAACTGTGAGGTGTAACTTTTTCGGAATGAGAGTTGTGAACTCTTGGAACAATCTGCCACAGAGTGCTGTTATGGCACTAAGTATGAGCTATTTCAAGACCAGACTTGACCAACACTGGAGCAGGTTCAGGTACATTCAGGAGCCGGTGCATGCCCAGTACTTGGCAACAGTGTGTAACAGAGACGTGACCGATCGCCCAAGCGGCTAACGAGCCGATCAGTGGTGAATAGGATAAAAGTAAAAAGTAAAAGTATTTGCGAACTAGTTCACTAAATTGAACGAAAAATAATGAGAAAATGCCTTCCACTAAATCAAGAGTTCATTATATCAGATTCCGTTAAATCAAAAGCATACTGTATTTTAAAAATTTGCAAATTAAATCCGTGTAAGTCGAGAGGTGACTGTACTATATATAATATGTAATTTGACTTCAAAATAAAGGGACAAACTGTACGAATAGGAAATCTCTTCCCTAACCACTTGTTTGGGCTCTTCAGGGGATCAGGACTGGAACCTTTTTTTTTTCCTAGGAATGGAACCTATTTTTCTCCTTAAGTTATTAATATCAATACAGTAGGGTCGGGATATATCGCGAGATAGGGTCCAAGGATGTTCACCACATACTAAATCGCGATATATAATTACGTGTAATCAATGGGGGAATATAGGGTTAGGTTCTGGAGGCCAATAAAAGTGACTAAACTTGACTTAACAAGCTTATTTTCTTACTAACTGAAGCACCAATGAACACTAGACTCGGGAACACCACCCTAGGCCCCGTTGTGGGTTGATTACCTGTACCCGGGTGGGCTATTCCCCGTAAAAAAATAAAAGGAACACCAGACTCGGCAGCTGACGCGCCATCCCTCACTTGACAATCCCACACCTACATAAATGAACAAACCAAAAATATTAGTTACAGTATTAAATCTTTTCCATTATCTTCACTTCACTTTTCACCTCACTAGCAACCCATTTACACTCACCTTAGAAGTCGGAATCTGCAGCAAAGTCGGCTGCTGTCTCGTCACTCGACTCACAGCCAGCCTCCTTCTGCTTTCATTAAATATGTCTTCTTTGGCATCCTTTTCCAGTTTATTTCTGTCTCATCACAATTCCAGATTTGGTCTTGAGTATAGCCATCTTCCTCAAACACCTTTTTCAATATACAGTGATCCCTCGGTTCACGAGATTTCGGTTAACGATTTATCTTCCATAAGATTCTTAACTTCGGTTAACGAGCAATCCCTTGATTAACGAGTTTTTTACGAGCCGACTTCAACATGTTTTCGCTTGCATTTGGCGGTCCTCCAGCTGTAGTATTAGTCCGCCAATACAGTAATCGGTTTTAGGGCTTAAATTCCTTACTATTTTAGTAAATATCAAGAAGTTTATACTGTACTATTCAATAATTTTAAAAGTTTAATATTAACTTTTTTAGTTATTTTAACAATTATTGAACATAATTGAAGGTAAAGAAACTAGTTTCTGGCATGCCATCCAGCCTGTTAACACACCAGACAGGTGTTAGTCTCTCTCTGTTTTCAGTGGAGGTAACATCTTGCTTGAGACTCTCTTCAAACTAAACGTTTTTTTTCTGTGTTTCCAAGCAAATTATTGGTCATTTTGAAATTTATTTTACATATTGACAATATATAATGCAGTGCAGTGTTGATTTAAAGAAAATAATCTTGAATTACACCAAGAAAACTAAAATTTTATGGGTGAAATGGTGCCATGGGGTGACTTCTCTTCCACCCCAATGCCTTCTCTTCTCCCTTCTCCTCCACCCCAATTCTAATTCCCATCATCATCCAGGAGCCTTCTACATACACACCTCAAAGTAAGTGAACTTTTCTACCTTTTTTGTTGAATTTAGGCAATTTTCGGTGAGCTGGAACCAATTACCCAAAAACCCATTGAAACAATGGTTTCGGTTAACGAGTTTTTTGGTTAACGAGCAACCTGCTGGAACGGATTGTGCTCGTTAACTGAGGGACCACTGTATCTTCACTTTTTCCGTTGCAGCTGTGTCGGCCGATGAAGCTTCCCCTGAGAGAGATGCGCAGCTTAATTCAGCTCTCTTGATGAAGCTGTGAAGCCAGCCTTGGCTAGCTGTGAATTTACATTCACTTGCTGGCTTTCCTTCTCGCTAAAGTAGACGTGTCTGTATTTCCATTGCCTCACTCTATCATTTGACCCGATATAGCAACTTTACGGCGTTGACAGTATTTATATTTGCACAATAATTATAAATAGATCGAGAGCAGAAAAATCCAGCGTTACCCAAGCGGTTGGTCTTCCCACTCACACACCAACTATATAAGGATGTGGCTAAACATAATGCAATCTTTTATAATGCTGGGAACCCTTGTCCCCGGGCCCTGAGCAAAAAAGTTTAGAGTGATTTTCTCGCAATTTTTTCAAATTTTCCGGTAATTGTGTATCATTTCATAATCGATATTTGCTCCCAGACACAGAAGTAAAAATTTTGACATATTTTCCAGATTTTTTTTTAATTTTCAGAAAATGCTCCTGATTTTCAACCTCGGAATTTGTTTCCAAACCCAAATTTAGGGAATTTTCAGGAAAAGATCCAAGCAAATTTCAGTTTTGGCTATTGGAGAGTTCCGGGTTTGAGGGAATTCGGCTAACGGAGATACAGTAATATTTCTGTTAAACAGAATCCCTGAAGCCCAGAACTCTCCGATAGCCAGAATTGAAAATTTCCCGGAAAATCGTTCACAAAGCCGTAATTTTCCAAAAACTTCCAAGAAAATTTTCCCAATACCCAGAAAATTCCAGGAATGAGGGGAATTTTTCCGGGTTTGAGAAATGAAAATCAGGCGCATTTTCCAGAAATTCAAAGAAAAAATTCCTAGTACCCGGAAAACTCCGGGGATAGGGGATATTTTTCCAGGTTCGAGAGATGATGTAATGGGCAATTTATGGAACTACCGAGAAAATTTTTCCGTTGCCCGGAAAATTTTGGAAAATTCTGGGGATGAGGGATTTTTTGCGTTGTTGAGAGAGTTGTCTCATTACCCGGAAATCTCTCATTCCCGGAAGTGCTCCACACTAATTGTTCCGGTTAACGGAGATATCACAGTATTACTATATACATATATATATATATACAGTGGGGTATGCTATAACGAATCTAATTGGTTCTAGAACCTTGTTCGTTATAGCATTCGTTCGTTATAGGATTAATCCGTTCCAGGCCCCCAAATACAACCACTTAACACTGAAAAATATAATATAAAATTGTAAAAATTGTAAAAAAGTGCATAAATATGCATCTAAACCCCTGAAATAAAAAATATCATTAATATTTGTAATAAAAAAACAATAAATTAGAAAAAAATACTAAATATTGTGCCTGTTAAACCGTTAGATCCGTTCGTTATAGCATACCCCACTGTATATATACAGTGGGGTATGCTATAACGAACGGATCCTACTACGAATATTCCTATAACGAACGGTTTTACCTATAAAATTGATAATGCTATAACGAACGAAACTCCTACAACGAACATTATAAATTTTTTTTTTTTACTAATTTATTGTTTCTGTATTACAAGTATTAATGATATTCTTTATTTCAAGGGTTTAGATGCATATTTATGCACTTTTTTACAATTTTTACAATTTAATATTATATTTTTCAGTGTTAATGGTTGTATTTTGGGCCTGGAATGGATTAATCCTATAACGAACGAATGCTATAACGAACAAGGTTCTAGAACCAATTAGATTCGTTATAGCATACCCCACTGTATATATATATATATATATATATATATATATATATATATATATATATATATATATATATATATATATATATATATATATATATATATATATATATATATATATATATATATATATATAAAATATGCATAATTTATGTAGATCAAGGAATAAACACTACAAAAAATAGGACTTTTCTAAAAGTACAGAAAATATATGACCTACATGCTTATTTTTGCCATCTTCATCCTGCATTTCAAAGTATCTGTAGTTAAAATGGATTGTGGGTACATGTGGATTGCGCGGGTGAATCACTGAACTAATCCCTGCAGCGAAGAAAGTAAACTGCTTGTCCTCAGGCAACTCCTTACCTCTGCAACAATTGAACCATCTGCAGGTACATACTATAGTAGAGAAAACTAAATATTATGTAATCATACTGTACAGTACTACACTACATTAAAATCCCGCTTAGGGCAACCCCATTCCACATGAAATCACTATACAGTTGTACCCCACTTAACGCGGTCAATAGAACCCAGAGGGTCCCGTGTTAAGTGAAATCAGAGTTAAGTGAACAACAGAACATATGGGATTAATTCCAATAGAAACCGGCCCGACCCCCAAACTCCACTTTTTGAAGACACATAACTATGTTGTAGTAAAAATAACATCTTAATTTTATGATGGTACATGCACACAATTAATACTTAAGAGAAATAGAGAAATACAGTCGCCAAGTTAATGTCCATTCAAATAATGGACTCAACTCCCTCCCCCTCTCACACTACACTGCCGGCTCTTCCCTCTCTGAGAAATTTTTGGGGGAAAACCACTAAATTTTAATAAATAATACCTCAAACTAAAGTTAGGATAATACAATTGACATTGCTGGATTCCTTGTAAGACCAGGAATATTTTGAATATAAACGTCATATATTTTGCACAAGAGATAACATAGTTACCCAGAGAAAAAATTGTATCTAAAATTTGTATGTCTAATGCAAAATATATGATGTTTATATTCAAAATGATCACCAAATTATAAGAATTCCAGCAATGTAAATTATATTCTGACCGGGTAATTTGTATGAATTTTATGAGCTAAAACAAATATCTTCAGTTAATAAAAAAAATAATAATCTTCACGACACTATCTGTCAATCAAAGTACCCCACCTTGCCTCCCCCCTCTTCCAACCGCGCGGTCAGTCCCAACCCTCCCCCCCACCCCCCACCAATCGTCCCTTCAAGAGATGTGGGGTGAAAAAAATAAATTTTAACATTTTGTATTAAATAATACCTCAGATTAAAGTTAGGATAATATAATTGACATTGCTGGATTCCTTGTAAGACCAGGAATATTTTGAATATAAATATCATATATTTTGCACAAAAGATAACATAGTTACTCAGAGATAAAATTTTATCTAAAATTTGTATGTCTAATGCAAAATATATGATGTTTATATTCAAAACGATCATCAAATTATAAGAATTAAAGCAATGGAAATTATATTCTGACCGGGTAATTTGTATGAATTTTATGAGCTAAAACAATTATCTTCAGTTAATAAAAAAAAAAATATATTCTTCACAGGGTAACAGATGGTCGGTCGGTCCTTCCCTCCCCCCCCACCCCCCACCAACCGTCCCAAGGAGATGTGTGGGAAAACCAGAATACTTAACTTTTTTGTAATAAATAATACCTCAAACTAAAGTTAGGATAATATAATTGACATTGCTGGATTCCTTGTAAGACCAGGAATATTTTGAATATAAATGTCATATATTTTGCACAAAAGATAACATAGTTACTCAGAGAAAAAATTTTATCTAAAATTTGTATGTCTAATGCAAAATATATGATGTTTATATTCAAAATGATCACCAAATTATAAGAATTCCAGCAATGTAAATTATATTCTGGCCAGGTAATTTGTATGAATTTTATGAGCTAAAACAGGCAGTCAGGCAGGGTGGCGTGTGGGGCAAATCTAAAAATAGCGTCTCGAGCCGGACACTCACCGCGTATATGTGGAAAAAATCCGTGTTAAGTGAAAGTTCAGCTCTGGCGAGGCACCGCGTATATGATAAAACGCGTTAAGTGAAACCGCGTTAGGCGGGGTAATACTGTACAATGGTCCCTTGGTTAACGAACGGTTCGATTAACAAAATTTCGGTTAACGAATTAGCTCCCATAAGGATTTTCAGTTCCAGTAACGAACAAAATTTCGATTAATGAAAGCCTTAGGAGAAACACGCTTTGTTGTGCACATCAGCTGATCGGCTAGTTCACCAATATAGTAATCTGTTCTATGTTTACCTTTGTTTCCAGTGGAGTAAATATCAAGGTTGTGTTCTTGAATATTTTTTCATTTTTTATATTAAAATTATAGGTCCTTTTAAAATTTAGCCATCCAAGCTCTGTCTTCATATAGTTTTTCAACTATTATTTTTGGCTCGATGTATGTAACTTTATTCATTTATTAAAACTCATTTACATGCACACACACTGTCCAAAGGGCAAAGCTGTACTGTATATGTAATCAAAATAATGTACAAAATGATTACTAAAATTTTTGTCTAGTGCAAACTATAGCATGTTTACAATCAAATTAATCTTATAAGAATTCCAGCAATGTAAATTATATTCTCTCCGGTCACTTCTGTGACATTTTATAAGCAAAAAACAGAAACTCAATCTAAAGGACATAAATAAACAAATAAATACTTCACTAGACCTTTGGCTCCAACTGTCAAACATGTCACTGTCACCCCTCCCTCCCCTCCAACCAGCCAGGGTTTGGTGGTTATACAGTAGGCTTTAAGTTTTTATCTTATATAATATCACAGACTTAAGTTAGGAGAATATAATTTGCATTGCTGGAATCCTTGCAAGACAGTGAATAATTTGAATATAAATGTCACATATTTTGCGCGAGATAAAATTTTTATTATTTTAGTGTACTGTAGTACATTTTATTATGTAAAGTTTTTCAACTGTATTTTCGGGTAGATTTACATAAATGTCTTCATTTATTTTTATTCATTTACATGCACACACCTCACTAAAAGAAATGTAAAATAAATAAATGACCTAAGTGCAAACCTGTACTGTACATGTACTAAATGATTACGGCACTAAAATTTTTATGTCTAGTGCAAATTATAGCTTGTTTCTATTCAAATTAATCACTATCTTACAAGAATCCCAGCAATGTAAAGTATATTCTCCCAGGTCATTTCATTGACATTGTATAAGAGCAAAGCTTAGTCACACTTAAGGACTGATAAATAAACACACATCAGACCTTTGGCGCCAACTGTCAAACATATTACCTCACCTCCCGCTCCCTCCCTTTCCCCCCATCTGCCCAGCCAGGGTTTTAGGCTTACAGTTTTTATCTTATATAATTATTATCACAGACTATAGTTAGAATATAATTTGCATTGCTGGAATCCTTGCAAGACAGTGAATAATTTGAATATAAACGTCATATATTTTGCACAAGAGATAAAAATTAATCACCTTTATCACATTACAGTAGTGATTTAAGAGTTCTAATATATATATATATATATATATATATATATATATATATATATATATATATATATATATATATATATATATATATATATATATATATATATATCGATTTTGGGGAATTTTAGGAGTGTTTCTGACTTTATGCATTTTTGGCTTTACTTTGTATGTACTTTGTGTTCGTTAACCGAGGGACCACTGTATTGTACTGTAGTGCAAAAAAATATTATTTATTTTTATTTCTTAACCATTGTAAAGCTTTAATTCTCCTAGAACAATTTACGGTGTATGGCTGTTAAGTGCTATAATTGTTCAAGGAAGTACTTATTTTGCAAATGTATTTTAATTTCTCTAATCCTCTGCAAGACAATAACATCCCTCTGTGAGCCTCCTATGCTTACACTTGTGTTCTGTTCACCCAGGTTTACTCTTCCTTTACAATTCAGCCATGATGGATGGATACATTTCATAATGAAATGTGATAAGCTGAATGTAAACATTAGGCAATATATTGCCTTGTAGACATGGTCAAGAAAAATGGGTAAGTGTTCTCTTTTTATATATATTTTGTGACAGTTTTTTATGCTTAGCTACTATTTCAAAATATGTTTTATTAATTTCTCAGACATTACTTTCAACATAAAACATGTCACCAGTTATTTGTATAGCACTGCAAAGGTTAGCCTATTATCAAATTTTTTTTATTTTCTTAAATTAAAAATAAGAGGCTTAAATGAAGGTAACACACTCAAAAGCATCCCTAATTACCATTGTTCATAAAGGACTTATGAGAGCAGCCAATCTCAGTGTACTCATACCTTGATGTGTGAGGCCCCAAAGAGCCAATCAATGTGTGTTGTACAAACCATTCTTGATATTTTAATAAGACTTAGAATGGAAATGCAATTATTTCTGTGAAACAATGGCTCTAAAATATTACCTTAGATGTGAAAGATAAAATAGGAAATACAATAGAGTGAGACATTGATGCCATGGCAGCTGGCTGCAATTTGATTTCTGTCTCTTTATTGAGAACAGTCATGAGGAATAAAGACAAAATATGTGTTTTAGTTGAGATCATCATTATATTTACTGTATGCCAACAGTGACCCTTGAGAATGGAGGCAAGTGCAGCTTCTCTCGTCCATGGCACGTTAAAATTAAAGCTGACTTCATGATGTGTGCCTAGGAAAATAACAGTACTGAAGAATAGAAAAATGTATTAAAAAAAATTAATTGTGAAGGTTAAGACTGTTACAGAAAGGAGTATTTGTGGTGTCATAGGCATGTGGAGGAAATTATTGTGATGACAATAACCAGTAGGATGTACAGTCGCGCACTATTCCACGTTGAACACCCAGCCAGACGACCAGAGAGGTAGAATCAGCTGACGATCTGTTAACTGTGTGTGTGTGTGCGGGGGTGGGAGGGGTAGGGGAAAGATGGGGGAGTTCTTGAGTTGCATGTTGCACAATATAATCATATTTTTTTTTTATAGTACAAAGTAATGGAAGTAGAAGGTATTACAGTAGTACCCCGATTTACACGGTCAATTGAACCCACAGGGTACCGCGGAAAGTGAAAACCGCGTAAAGTGAACAACAGAACATATGGGATTAATTCCAATAGAGACTGGCCCGACCCCCAAACTCCACTTTTTCCGACACAATACCTATGTTGTAGTAAAAATAACATCTAAATTTTATGATGGTATGCTCACACAATTAATATTTAAGAGAAATACAGTCGCCAGGTTAATGTCCATTCAAATAATGGACTCAAATCCCCCCCCCCCTCTTCCCAGCTCACTGGCCCCTACCTCTCTGAGAAATGATTGGGTGAAACACTAGATTTTAACGTTTAGTAATAAATAATACCTCAGACTAAAGTTAGGATAATATAATTGACATTTCTGGATTCCTTGCAGGTCAGGGAATATTTTGAATGTAAACTTCATATATTTTGCACAAAAGATAAAATACTTGCTTTGTGTAAACCAAATTATTACATTAGATCTAAAATTTGTATGTCTAATGCAAAATCCATGATGTTTATATTCAAAATGATCATCATATTGTAAGAATTCCAGCAATGTAAATTATATTCTGGTCCAGTAATTTGTATGAATTTTATGAGCTAAAAAAAAAAAAAAATTATACTTCACGCATATATGAGTAGATGCACCGCGCTGGCAAGGTACCACGTAAATGAGAAATCGCGGAAAGTGTAAAGCGGGGTAATACTGTATTAAATTTAGGAATAAGTTTTTGCCAGTAGCATTACAATGTTGGATATTTTGCACTATAAATGGTAATTTTTAATCTAAAGTTCGAGGCCAGAGAAACACGCGCCAATTCGGGTAAGGACAGTATGGGAAAGCAGGCGCCAGTCAATGATTGATGTCAACCAATTTCTTAGTTTTAATTATTTTCCAAATCTGACATAACTTTAAGCTGATGCACATTTTTAATTGATTCAACTGCTCTTATATGACATTATATTTCATGAAAGAATTTATAGCATATAATGAAACCATATGCTGTCGTAAGTCACGTTTTGACCTAGCCCCACACCGGGTAAACCAAAATGACCTCTTTATATTTATCGTTTTAATATGGTGATTCTAGTGGTATGGTGCTACGAAAGATACTGACAAGTAGTTGCCAATGACGTGTAGGTGTGTAATGCTATCCTTTATAATGTTAGGAAGTTACCTTGTGGCACTGGGCCATCTGTAACACGTGCACGCACACATGCACACACACACATTATCCTTTATTTTCACAAGTAATGAAATTAATAATAACTATGACAAAAAAAAAACAAGTGTTTAAAGACAACAAATGCAACCACCTCTGAATGGAATACAATATAAAATGGTGAAAACATTGATAATTTGCTTGTTGACCACGTAACAAGTGTCGACAGCCAATCAAAACTCATCCGAAGTATTGTCGCGACCCTATAAATCATAAAATTCAACAGAAAGCTCTTAGTCTTCATGATGAACCGTTGTGACACCCAGTAAGCTTTGAGAAGTCACATTATGGGCCTACGAGAAGCTGGACTCTCTATCCGAGCCATATCCCGTGAGCTTGAAATATCAACCGCTACTGTAATCAAGAGGATTAGAAGATGGGAGGAGAGTGGCAACCTGAACGACCTTGGTAAGTACTGATCAGACTGACATGTTATAGGTGATTACACAGGCAATCAAATATATTTACTAGTATAAAAAATTAGTGGCTTTTAATCAACATTTTCTTTATGATTTAGAGAGACATCCCGGCCATGAGTAGCAACTCCTGAAGATGATGCAAGGATCTTTAGAGCAGCTGAGGACAACCCTTTCACTAATGCTGTTGCAATTCGCGAATACTGTATTTGCGGCTGAACGTGAGCGCTAGAACTGTCCGGAGGTGGCTTCATGAGGCGGGTATCCACCACAGGATTCCCGCCAAGAAGGAACGACTGACAGAGGAACAACGTGCTGTCAGACTTGCCTTCGCTCGTCGACGTGCTGACCAGTCGCAGGAATTCTGGGACAGAGTTGCCTTCACAGACGAAAAAACCTTTACATCGGCCAATCACTGTAGAATACAGATGTGGAGGCGCAACAACACTAGGTAACAATAATACATCCTTTTGTCCAAAGCACCAATTAACAAATGCAATAAAACACGTTACCACAAAGGTTCGACTTTTTATGAATTCTTACACTTATGGTAACATTTCAGGAACTGCTGTATGAAAATTATATGTAAATGTTATAAGTCAAGTAATCCTGCTTTTAAGACCTGCTAAAACAACTAATCCAATCCTTTGATATAAATAAATACTACAGTGCTACCTCTACTCTCTCGGCAAGGCACACGTCAATAATGACTATTTGTATTTATTTGTCCAGCTGTATTCTAAATAAAATACCAAATTGGAACCCATTAATTTGCAAGTTATATATTAAGCCAAAATAATTTGAAGATAATTAACGTCAAGGTTTCCAGCAATATTGATAGTTACACAAATTATAATGCATCATGATATTAACAGCTGAAATTTTCTATCAACAGGTACAGTAGAATGACGATTTAAAGCGATTCAATTTAAGATTATTGATTTAAAGCGACACCCACAATTGAGGACAATATTTTAATTTAAAGCGAATCTTTCCTATTTTGCGCGAGTCAATCTAGTGCATCACATATTATAATTCGCGCCTAATGTTTCTCTGAGCACACTACACTGTCCTAAGGGCAAAACTGTACTGTACATGTACTCAAAATAATGCACTAAATGATCACTAAAATTTTTGTCTAGAGCAAACTATAGCATGATTATATTCAAATTAATCAATATCTTGTATGAATTCCAGCAATGTAAATTATATTCTTCCCGGTCACTTCTGCGACATTTTATAAACAAAACACAAAAACTTTATCTAAAGGACATCAATAAACAAATAAATACTTCACAAGACCTTCGGCACAACTGTCAAACATGTCAACTCACCTTCTTCCCTCCCTCCCTCTCCCCTATCTTCCCAGCCAGGGTTGGTGGTTTTAGGCTTTAAGTTTTTATCTTATATAATATCTCAGACTAAGGTTAGGATAATATAATTTGCATTGCTAGAATCCTTGCAAGACAGCAAATAATTTGAATATAAATGTGATATATTTTGCACAAGAGATAAAAATTTTAGCCCTTTGTAATAAAATTAATTAGGACATGTCAGCTCAGTGACACTTTATAAGAGAAAACTTAAAGTCACTCTTAAGGACAGATAAATAAATAAGCACTAGACCTTGGCATCAATTGTCAAACATATCACCTCACCTCTTCCCCCCCCTCCCCCATCTTCCCATCAGCTGATCACTAGTAAACAGACCATTTTACATCCCATAATTTTAGCTGTGTTGATTTATGAGTGTTTGTTTTAACATAATACTACAAAAAACAATGTTTTGTTTATTCTAGGAGATGGGCTGAGGTGCATCTGGGTAGACTTTCAGTCTTTTTAGTATTTTGTGTTTCTCTCAAGTACCAAACTAAATTATTCCATTGAAACAACACTTCGGTTTAGTGCGAATTCGGTTTAAAGCGACCTCTCTTGGAACATATCTCGTGTTATATGTACGTTCTACTGTATGACCGTGAGCATATTTATGAGGAGGCTCGTAAAGGACGCAGCACCTGTAATGTGTGGGGCTATATGTCTGTCCATGGTGTGGGGGACTTGGTTCAAATCGACGGGAGATTTACAGTGCAGAAGTATCTGGACATTTTGGAGAATGTTTTTCTTGCCCTCTCTGCTGGAAAGAAATTTCCCCTTCCCCACTGGACCTATTGTTTTCTTTCAGGATCGGTGGCCCATATACACGGCTAGAGTTGTCCAGCAGTGGTTTGCTGACTGTGAGAATTTGCAGCTGCTGGATTTGCCTAGTCGGGGGGCTGACATGAACTCTTTGGAAAATATTTGGGTGAAAAATTGTGAACACTTGGGAGCCTGCGAGGGAAAGAACATCTACAGTGTGTTTCGCCCACACCAAGGCAGAATGGGAAGTATTTAGGGCTAAACATGATATCCTCCACATCCTTGTTAGATCAAGGCCTGAAAGACTTAATGCCATTATCAACAAAGAAGAAGGGTGGACAGGTTACTAAAGTGAAGAATTTACGTCAGTGCGTTTTCCATAAGCCCAGTGCCTAATGCCGACAAATCAAGACATGTCTGCTGGCACGGTGTTCCTCTGTTGATGATTTCTGATGCCCAAATCCAACCTCATATCATCACTATTAAGACAGCCTTTGTGAAACAAAAATCTAGCCACCTCTCATGAGCTTCACTTTCACTAGGTCGTTTCTCATACAATACTTCTGAGTGAAAAAATTTAATACAATTTTGTATACTTTAGTTTCTCATAAATAATAAGTGACTTTTATTTTCCGTTATGATAACAATCGCTACTTGTTTCATTTCACGTAATAATACAACTTCCCATACATTTTTATTGCAATATTCCAATCCTGTTCTCCTATGGTATTCTTACTAAGAATTGGTGCGGGAAGGTTAAGATAGCGTGTTTCTCTGGCCTCAGACTTTAGATTAAAAATGACCATTTACAGTGCAAAAAATCCAACATTGTAATGCTACTGGAAAAAACTTATTCCTAAATTTAATAACTACTCCAACTTCCATTACTTTGTACTATAAAAAAAAAATAATATAATTATATTATGCAACACGCAACTCAAGAACTCCCCCATCTATCACCCTACCCCTCCCACCCCCGCACACACACACACACAGTTACCAGATCGTCAACTGATTTTACCTCTCTGGTCGTCTGGCTGGGTGCTCAACGTGGAAGAGTCCGCAACTGTACCTGAGTAAACTGAGTGAATGTAGATCACTCACCTGGCCCTCATACTCGCCTGCAGCTGTTTGGAAAGTGGGGCAGACATGACAGTAATGTTAACACCAGCCTTTTCAAATGTCTCAGTATCTTGGAGGACACAGGTGATGCCTCCACCTTCACTGGGATTATGGCGCCTCCATCTGTCAATGGTGAACTTGGCTTGATTTCCATCCTCTTGCTCCAAGGATCGACAAAACTCTGACTATGGAGACACAAGATGACATCAATATACAGTATTAGGTTTGCCTAAATATGAAATCCAAAAAAGTTACCTGTTAATTTTGAAAATGAATATTGCTGAATATAATGTGATACCACAATGCACTTAAAATGGTACAGTAGTTAGAAAGAATCCATCATATCTGAGGGTTGACAATCACAGTCCTCCATTCTAAAAAATTTCCGGATGTTTTTACCAATATCCATGATTTTGCATCTCTCTGGGGAACAAGTTTTTAATTCAATTCATCCAGCCTCATACCCTCAAATTCGCCCATTAATATTTCTGTTATTATCCTGTCATTCCTAAATTATATGACCAAAGTATCTTATTTTTTTTATGTACATTTCAAGTATTTCTCTTGAAGTTTTTGTTAACCTTAGTACTTCTTAATTTGTTTTCCTGTAATTGTAACCTGTTCTTAATAGTCACCAATACCACCACATTTTAAAGGCCTCTAACCTCTTTCTGGTGTCTGCTGAAAGTGTCCACACTTCTAACCCATACAATAGTCCTTGCCATATACAGTATATCCTTTCAGCATAATTTTTCTCAAATCGAAGTTCACCCTTTGGCTGCGGGAAGTGACCCTAAGCTGAATAAAATCATCTGGCGGTGGCCAGAAAAAATGGCAAGTGCGGGAAACACAGCAAAAAGGTTATGTCCCTTTTCAGTAGGTCTTTTAGATTATTAAATTAAAATTTTGCTTGACCTACATTTTTATTTCTTCCATACATCTACCATCATAGCTAATGTTCCTTCCCAAATATGCAAAAACTTCCACTTTAAGTTGTCTTTACAGCATCAACTCTTAACCCATATTCTTCACCTTTTTCCACTACAAGTAATCTGTTAACCATTTTTTTTAATGCTTCTGCACTATTTGTGATAAGAACAGTATCATCTGCATACACGTCGCAGACACTACGCTGAATATCATAACTAGTAAAATGACCCATTTGATCGATAAATATATACCCAAGACCAAACCCAGTGCTTCTAGGAATACGAGGGGATCCCTACACATGAACCATGCGGCGGTCGACAAAATTAAGAAGAAAACCCAGAAATTCAAGACGTGGGTTGGGTCAAACGATGAGCAAGACAGGAGGATGTATGCAAGAGCCAGAAACCAAGCAAAGATAGAGTGTAGGAGGGCTGAAAAGGAGTTCCAAAGGCTGGTTGCACGCGAGGTCAAGTCAAACCCAAAGGCGTTTTACCGCTATGCAAAGTCGAAATTGAAAACGCGAGTAGGAGTATCAGACCTGAGGCTTGAAGATGGTAGTTACGCAGATTCTGACCAGGATAAAGCTGAGGCATTGAACAGCTTCTTTTCCTCAGTGTTCACAAGAGAGGATGCAACTAACCTTCCTGCGTTTGAGGACAGACGGTTCGACACAGCACTGACCCACATTGTGTTCACAGAAGAGGGTATTAGAAATAAACTGTCCAGGCTAAAGGTCCATAAGAGTCCTGGACCTGACATGGTGCATCCTAGAGTGCTAAGGGAGCTGTGCAACGAGCTTGCAGAGCCCCTGAAGATTCTGTTTTGTAAATGCCTGGATGAACAAATGGTCCCCAGTGAATGGAAAGTGGCTTATGTGAGTCCTATCTTCAAGAAGGGCGATAGGCACTCCACGAACAACTATAGACCGGTGAGCCTGACCAGCATAATATGTAAAGTACTTGAGAGTATTATCAGAGATGCAGCGATGGAACATCTACTACGAAACAACCTTGTAAAAGATTGCCAACACGGTTTTATGCCGGGGCGCTCTTGCTTGACACAATTGCTCAAGGTATTGGATATTTGGACCCATATTCTAGAACGGGGTGGTAATATCGACAATATTTACCTAGATTTTGCCAAGGCTTTCGACAGTGTACCCCACGAAGGCTGAAAATCAAACTGGAAGGGTACGGAATTCGGGGAAATGTCCTAGCGTGGATAGAAGACTTTCTACATGACCGCAAGCAATGTGTGGTGATTAATGGCACGAAATCGTCATCTGTACCTGTAACAAGTGGGGTACCGCAGGGTAGTGTATTGGGCCCGCTGTTGTTTGTTTGTTTCATAAATGATATGCCTGACGTTGTACACTCCTCCATACAAATGTTTGCCGATGACGCCAAGTTATTTCGGGAAATTAAGAACCAAGCGGACTGTGAATGCCGATGGCGCCAAGTTATTTCGGGAAATTAAGAACCAAGCGGACTGTGAAGAGCTGCAGAAGGACCTCTGTGGGCTCCAGGAATGGTCGAAGGAATGGCTGCTGAGATTCAATGTCACGAAGTGTAAGAGGATGCACCTGGGACGTACCAACGGTAAGGAGGCGTACCATATGTCCCAACGGGATGAAGAAAATGTACTAGTTGAGACTGTGTGTGAGAAGGACCTCGGTGTGTATGTTGACAATGAGCTGAAGTTCTCGGGCCATTGTGAGAAGAAGGTAAATCAGGCAAATAAATTATTGGGTCTTATAAGAAGGTCGTTCAGATATCTAGACGGTCCGTCCCTCGTGACGATCTTCAGGAATGAAGTGCTTCCCCATCTGGAGTACTGTCACCCCATCTGGTCCCCGAGATATGCTAGGGACTGTCAGTTGGTTGAAAATGTTCAAAGGAGGGCCACCAAGCTGGTGCCTGCACTTCGGCATCTCAGCTACCCTGCGAGATTGGAGCGCCTGAACTTGCCTAGCTTATACTACAGACGGGCAAGGGGGGACCTAGTTGAGGTTTATAAGCATCTCAGGGGGCACTACTCAGTTGAGTGTCCTTACTTGGAGCTGGCGGACGCTCGCCCCACAAGGGGTCACAGCTCAAGATTGAAGAAGCCGCAAGTCCGGAAAACCGCGAGGGCAAACTTTTTCGGAGTGAGGGTTGTAAACTCTTGGAACAATCTACCAGAAAGTGTTGTGACGGCACCGAGTGTGAGCTCTTTCAAGAGAAGACTTGACCAACACTGGAGCGGGTTCAGGTACATTCAGGAGCCGGTGCATGCCCAGTATTTGCCAACAGTGCGTGACAGAGACGTGACCGATCGCCCGGGCGGCTAGCGAGCCGACCTTTTGGTGAAGAATATAAAGGAAAAGAGTCGTGACCGATCGCCCAAGCGGCTAACAAGCCGATCAGTGGCGAAGGATAAAAAGTAAGTAAAATATATATATATATATATATATATATATATATATATATATATATATATATATATATAACTAATATATATATATATATATATATATATATATATATATATATATATATATATATATATATACTATATATATATGCTGCTGCTCTTCTCTCTCTGCTATATATATATATATATATATATATATAAAGTACCCTATTGTATTACAGTAAGTCCTCGTTTAGTGTTGCCCCCGATAACGTTATTTCGTTATAACGTCACTACTCTTTAGATACCCATGATTCAGATAACGTCCCACCGATTCAGTACAACGTCGTCACGGACTACTTAGTATGGCGCATCACCCTCTCTCATCTTAGCATACTACGCTCTCACCCGCGGAGCGTCTTGGCATCCCCAAGCGTCACCAGTCTTTGTTAAGCTACCACAGCATTTGTGATTGTTAAGTGTTTTTGCTCTTAATACTGAACTCCAACCCTTTGAAATGGCTTCCAAGTGCCCATCAAGTGTTATGAAGAAGCAACGTCAGACCATTAGCCTTGCTATGAAAATGGAAGTTTTAAACCGGGAGGGGGAGCCCCCGTTGGGTCTCAGTGACTCGCTACTCTCCTCCTCCGCTCCACTACCCACCACAAACTCGCTTCACCACCTCTGTCTATCAGCGAGTACAATACAAAATATATCGACAGTGGTCCCTCGGTTAACCAACACAATTCGTTCCACAGAGTCGGTTGTTAACAGAAATTTTTTTTAACCGAATCCATTATTTCAATGGGATATTGGGTAATTGGTCCCAGCTCACAGAAAAGTACATACAAAGTAAGGCCAAAAATGCACAAAGTCAGAAACATTCCTAATATTCCCCTAAATCACCCTTAAATCAATATATATATATACAGTAGGCCCTTAACATATGCGGGTTTATAATACACGGATTTGCAAAGACGCGGATTGCCCCGCCGGAAGAATATTCTGTACATTGAAGTAATTGAAGTACATTCAAATTGCGCGCCATTCAACTCGCGCGCGGCCTGAACACGGGACACCGCCCACTCACGCAACCTCACACACACACGCATAGCTCTCCCTCACTCAGTCAGTCTCGCTGTAACCACGCTCGTGTTGACATCAGCATTGTAGTTGCAAAAATATTACATTTCCGTGAATGTATTATATCAAGCACAGTATGAATAGAATATCACTAATATAAGAGTATTTTAACCGAAAACTACTAAAAAAACGATTAACATATCTTGAACATCGGAAGGCTAGGTAAAGTCTTTTGTTTTCATGTAGTTTATCCTAATTTACATTGAAATGCATTACGTTTCAGCAAAACTACTATTTATTTCTGAGAATATGGAAATGTAATATTTTGCTGAAATGACGTACGTATTACAGTGGAAAGTGACGAAAGCAATGACTCGCTTTCTTTTGTTCAAAAGATGTTACCGTAATCGCTTTTCGAATGGTTTTCAGTTAAAAAACTGTTGTATTACAACAATATTCTATCCTAATTCACTTGTGATGCAACAGTTTTTTTAACTGAAAACCATTCGAAAAGCGATTACAGTAACATCTTTTGAACGAAAGAAAGCGAAAGTCATTGTTTTCGTCACTTTCCACTGTAATACGTACGTCATTTCAGCAAAAATATTACATTTCCGTGAATGTAGTACAGTGGGGTATGCTATAACGAACGGATCCTACTACGAATATTCCTATAACGAACGGTTTTACCTATAAAATTGAGAATGCTATAACGAACGAAACTCCTACAACGAACATAATTTAATTTTTTTTTTCTAATTTATTGTTTTATTATTACAAATATTAATGATATTCTTTATTTCAGGGGTTTAGATGCATATTTCTGCACTTTTTTACAATTTTTACAATTTTATATTATATTTTTCAGAGTTAAGTGGTTGTATTTGGGGGCCTGGAATGGATTAATCCTATAACAAACGAATGCTATAACGAACAAGGTTCTAGAACCAATTAGATTCGTTATAGCATACCCCACTGTATATCAAGCACAGTATGAATATAATATCATTGTAAACAGTATTTTAACCGAAAACTATTAAAAAAATGAGTGACACCTCTTGAACACTGGAAGGTTAGGTAAAGTCTTTAGTTTTCGTCATGTATTTTATCCTATTTTACATTGAAATACATCACGTTTCAGCAAAACTACTATTTATTTCTGAGAATATATTCATTCAGGCACAGTTTAGGTAAAATATACATGTGCTGTAACATTTTTTTAATTGAAAACGATTCGAAAAACATGTACCCTCTAGCCCTGTTCAAGGAGAAGACTGGGAGGGCTGTTTGGTGCTTAAGACGATGACAAGGAAAATGATTTTGATGGATTTTAATGAAAATATTCAGAAAGACCCTGGCACTGTCAAGGAAAGTGGCTGCTGAAGGCTTCCGGGACATGGCAGAGGACGAGATTAGGGAGCTAATTGAAGCGCACGACACTGAGCTAGTAGACTCAGGCAAGGAAGAGGAAGCGAAAGGGAAAGAAGATGAGGAAGAGCACCAAGAAATAATGTTGGAGAAGTTGGGGGAGATGACCAGGAATATTGAGGCACTGAAAAACCTGGCCTATAGTATGGACCCCTCCATGATGCGTGCCCTGAAATTCATGCGAGGGATGGATGACGTTTTCGCTCCATACAAAAACATCATGGAAGAAATGAAAGAAAGAGACGACAATTCCCCATCACCATGTTCTTTGATCACCGAAGGAGAGATTTAACACCATCAATCACTGGCGGCAGTGAGGAAGCAGCTGAATCCACCGTCGCCCCCACTTCACCACCCGTTATGGAATTGAGTGACGATGAGCCCGATGACCCCCGTCCTGTCGGGTTGAGGTGTTGATTTTATGTAGAAGTCCGCTTGCTATTGGGCTAATGAAATTTATATGGATCCTCGTGTTTCGAAGCCGGATTTGGTAAAACGTTACTCTGACCACCTACGTGATACGGGTAGTCCCCATTAGAGGTTCACGGCACCATAAGCTCGTTGAACAGGCTTTGTGTGAAATATAACAAAGTCTAGGACTGCTTTTAGTATCCTGGTGGTCCAGCGGTTAGTGTTCCCCGGTCACAGTCATGGGCTAGTGGGCCGTGGGTTCTAATCCTGGAGGGTTGAGGTGTTGATTGTGTGTGTGTGTATATATATATATATATATATATATATATATATATATATATATATATATATATATATATATATATATATATATATATATATATATATATATATATATATATATATATATATAAACACTCTTACTCTTAAATCACTACTGTAATGTGATACAGGGGATTAATTTTTATCTCTTGTGCAAAATACAGTATATGACATTTATATTCAAATTATTCACTGTCTTGCAAGGATTCCAGCAATGCAAATTATATTCTCCTAACTTTAGTCTGAGATATTATACAAGATAAAAACTGTAAGCCTAAGACCCTGGCTAGGGGAGAGGGAGGGAGGGAGCAGGAGATGAGGAGATATGTTTGACAGTTGAAGCCAAAGGTCTCATGTGATTTTATTTAACAGTCCTCAAGTGACTAAGCTTCTCTCATTTTAAAATGCCAGTGAAATGACCTGGGAGAATATACTTTACATTGCTGGGATTCTTGTAAGATAGTGATTAATTTGAATAGAAACAAGCTATAATTTGCACTAGACATAAAAATTTTAGTGCCGTAATCATTTAGTACATGTACAGTACAGGTTTGCACTTAGGTCATTTATTTATTTTACGTTTCTTTTAGTGAGGTGTGTGCATGTAAATGAATAAAAATAAAAGAAGAAATTTATGTAAATCTACCCGAAAATACAGTTGAAAAACTTTACATAATAAAATGTACTACAGTACACTAAAATAATAAAAATTTTATCTCGCGCAAAATATGTGACATTTATATTCAAATTATTCACTGTCTTGCAAGGATTCCAGCAATGCAAATTATATTCTCCTAACTTAAGTCTGTGATATTATATAAGATAAAAACTTAAAGCCTACTGTATAACCACCAAACCCTGGCTGGTTGGAGGGGAGGGAGGGGTGACAGTGACATGTTTGACAGTTGGAGCCAAAGGTCTAGTGAAGTATTTATTTGTTTATTTATGTCCTTTAGATTGAGTTTCTGTTTTTTGCTTATAAAATGTCACAGAAGTGACCGGAGAGAATATAATTTACATTGCTGGAATTCTTATAAGATTAATTTGATTGTAAACATGCTATAGTTTGCACTAGACAAAAATTTTAGTAATCATTTTGTACATTATTTTGATTACATATACAGTACAGCTTTGCCCTTTGGACAGTGTGTGTGCATGTAAATGAGTTTTAATAAATGAATAAAGTTACATACATCGAGCCAAAAATAATAGTTGAAAAACTATATGAAGACAGAGCTTGGATGGCTAAATTTTAAAAGGACCTATAATTTTAATATAAAAAATGAAAAAATATTCAAGAACACAACCTTGATATTTACTCCACTGGAAACAAAGGTAAACATAGAACAGATTACTATATTGGTGAACTAGCCGATCAGCTGATGTGCACAACAAAGCGTGTTTCTCCTAAGGCTTTCATTAATCGAAATTTTGTTCGTTACTGGAACTGAAAATCCTTATGGGAGCTAATTCGTTAACCGAAATTTTGTTAATCGAACCGTTCGTTAACCAAGGGACCCTGTATTTCTTATGAGAAAAATTTATTCCATTAACGTCGTGGTTCTGAGAACAGAACCATGGCGTTAGCGAGAACTTACTGTACTGTATAAAGTGTAGCCTAAAACCGGCGACCCAATAACTGCTGATTCACATAACAGATGATTACATTTAGAAATACCCGATTGTTTCATTTGAGAGAGAGAGAGAGAGAGAGTTCTTACCTGAATTCTCATTATAAGTAATTCCATCTTTGTCTTCATATCATTTGGATTCTCCTCTAAAATATTCAAATCTGTAATAGGTTCTGCCATGAAGATGGAGGTGTCTAGGTTAGTGGATTTCTTTGCAGCAGAAACAACTTCATTATTAGAGGAGAAGAGTAATACTCCTCCTGTTGCCAGAAATGATGCTGTAACATACCTGTAAAAAAAAATTGCTTCATATCACTTGTTTTTAACAAATTACCTCAAATAAGAATGGTTTTTAGATAGACCTTACTTAACCAACCTAACTTAACCTAACCAAAGCTGATCTGATCTGACCTAATCTAACCAGACCCAAGTGATAACTCATTTAGCTACTTGGCAAAAAACATTTTCAGTAATTTCAGGAAGTGACTGATTACACAACTTGATTGTAACTTATACAGTACTGTACATGGTTCTCCTTAGACTGATACTAGGATATAAATATTATCAGAGTTGTAAAGTAACAAAATATATTTACTCGAGTACTGTACTCAAGTAACATTATTGGGTATCTACTTTTTAAAAAGTAAAAAATATTTTTTAGTACTTTTACTTAAGAATGATTTTCTAATACTTTTGCTCCAATACAATTGAAAAAAAACCGTTACTTGTTACATGCACCAAACAAACAAAGAGTTTTAATGTCTGCAACAAACTAATATATATTTTTTAATTAATTAATTATTAACAATAGTAAAAGAGTTGTGTGGGTGGAACCATGAAGGGTACGGTGTGGGGAGACGCCACGAGGTCACATACCTAGAAGTCTTGTGAAGTCAGGTCAGGTGGCAGTGGCTTAACAGCGGACTTTCACCTTTGAATGTTCTTGTGTCCATGAGCACCTTGACCATCCGCCTCACCTAGCCTACACCTCTTATCCCTCCCTCGCCCATCGAATCCCCTCTCTTCTCCCCCCACCTTTCCGTTAACCGTTAGTTGCTCTTTGCATATCCCTATACCTAAAATGAATTTCAAAGAGGCTGTGATTCTAAAATGCTTTACATAATTCCATCTTAAATATAAATCTTGTATCTAGATATGTGTGTGAGACTGAGTGTATTTAAAATTCTGCTTAAATATTTAAGTACCATTGCCCCCCCCCCCCGGCACCTGCCAAATGTTACGTGGTGCAAAAAATTCAGCCACTCATCAATTAGAATCGAAGAGTGACGTCACCACAGCCACACCCCCAATTAGAGGGACAGTTCACGGTGGGTCTTAGTCAGAATCACTCACTATGGAGGCAACAATCATCCACAAACTCCTCAACTGAAGGAGCTTTATAGCTACCAAACAGGGAGGTACTACCACCTGGGAAGATATTGGAAGCATAATGTGTTGTCAAATGGTAGATCCTGATGTCATATGGCATCACAAAAATTTTGACCAAGTCCCAGGTTGCTGATCTAACTTTCTGCCTCATTTACACACAATTGCAGGGTCTCAATTGTGTTTCTTACTTTGACAACACAACATACATATATCGTTTCTCACTATTAATCTTTTTTTTTATGGTCCTTTATTATTATCATTATTATATTACATTTTTATTTAAGATTTTTTCAATTTTATATTAATTATTATAGGTATTATTATAATTATTATAATTTTGCCCCCAGGCCCTGATGTGGGTCATTGACCTGTGTCCTGGTGGGCTAATCCCCTCCCCCCCCCTTTAAATTTGTTTTCTCTGAAAACCAAAAGTTTTATCCCAGGACAATATAATAAGGGCATATCAACGCTTAAAAGCCATTTCTTCTTATAATTATTATTATATTATATTTTTATTTAATATTTTTTTCATATTTTTATTAATTATTACAGGTATTATTATTACCGGTATTATTATTATTATTATAATTTTGCCCCCAGGTTTTCTCTGAAAACCAAAATTTTTAACCCATGCCAATATAATAAGGGCATATCAATGCTTAAAAGCCATTTCTTATTATTTTATGCATTAATGTACATTAGTTATATTTGAAAATGCCATTGGAAACTTTAGAAAAATGTTATTTCCCGTGTTTGTAACCAACAGGCTTTCCACAAGTATTTTTATTTTGTAAAATCGTTTCCTCCCCAATCAAATGGACTAATAAATTACGTTCTCTCTGCGATATAGGACTTGCCCTTGATGATTGGGAGGAAAGAATGTCCATGATGAGAGCGCAGTACAGTACTCTAAATTTTAGCGCCAGCGAAGGTAAACAAACACACACGAGTAAGACAATCCATAATGCATCAGTGAAAAGATGAGTAGACGACCCATCATGCATCAGCAAAGTGGACAGTATTACCAGATCTACCCTACTTGGTCCCACACGAAGGGGAAGAGGTTCGAGCAATTAAAAATACCACTTGAAAGAACAATCCCTTCGTCAGAGAGGGAAGATGTTGTTTAATAATATGAGCGTAAGCCTTAAACTGCCTTCGCCCTGGCTGGGAGGAAGGGGGACGTGAGGTGTTGACAGCTGTCATGGAGGGGAGATAACGAAGTGCAGTATATAACTTGCATTGCTGGAATTTTTGTAAGATAGTGATTAATTTAAGTACAAACATCCCATAGTTTGCACCAGACATAAATTTTCTAGTAATTAACTAAGTACATTTGAGTACAGGTTTGCCCTTAGGACAATTATTTCTTTTACTTTTTTCACAATGCAGTATCTCCACGACTTACAACAACCCGGACATACGACTGCCATGGTCGAAATATTTTTCACATTACAGTACGTATTTTTGAGTCCCGACGTTAGTGATTGCGCTGTGTACTGACAAAATTTTCGTTTGTAATTCCCTTTAAAATGACTGGCAAGCGTAAAAGTGACAGTTCTCGCGGTGCTGAGAAGAAAAAGAGACACCCATTTTAGATTTTCTATGCATTATTTTCGCCTTTTCGACTTACGACCTGGTTGTCGGGATGGAACCCCGTCGTAAGTCGAGGAGAGACTGTATATATTCAGGATGGTGTGTGCATGTAAATGAGTAAAAAAAAAAATGAAGAAAGTTACATATATCTTCCCAAAAATTTGAGTTAAAAAACTTGTACACAAATGTACTACACTAGACTAAAAATTTCTATCTCTTGTGCAAACTATGTGATGTTTATACTCAAATTAATCATTATCTTACAAGGATTCCAGCAATGCAATTTATATTCTGCTAAGTCTAGTCAGCTACATTTTATAAGATAAAAACTTCAAGCCTAAAACTAGCTTCACCCAAGCTGGGAGGAAGGGAGAGAAGTTAAGTGCCCTCTCATAATTTTGTCAGGATTAAAAGAGGTGCCAGACCACCAGTTCCCGGAAAATCGGTGGTGTAACTGTATCATATTTTCTTTATTTCTAAGTCACATTAGAGTGTTGAAATGATTTTTATACAACTTTTATAATTTCATTACATGGAACAATAGCACCATGCATTACCCTCTCCCTCCTCCACTCCTTAAGGTAAAGACCGTAGAGACCCTCACAACCAGTACTGTACTGTATAGTGGAAGCCGTCAGACGCAGTACACAATCTCCTTTGCACTCCATTCAACCCATAGTGCAATCCGTGGAGGGGCGAGGGACGCATTGTTTAAAGCCTCGTACTGTAGTTTAAGGGATATGTGTACATAATGTTGTTATACATGTATATATAGCTACAGGCAAACCCCGTTATTAATAGCCTCGGTATTCGTAACCCCGTTTATCAGCAATCAATTTATTGTTACCCATTTCCACTATTCGCAATGGTTGCCCCGTTTATTCGCAAATTCTTATGAGCGAAAATTTTGAACCGCGCATCTCAACTGTAGCATAGGACAGCGTATGTACGTATTCCTCCGCCATACGCTCCCGCTCGCCTCAGTCTCACACGTGCTGGCGTGCGTTTTGTGTGATCTCGCAATGCCTAAGCGACCAGCTACTAAAACTCCCAGCAATTTTGCTGAGAGATCACGTGTGGCAGTTACGTTGGACGTGAAATTGGATATATAGTAAAAAGACATGAACTCTGAGAAGGAACGTCGGTGATTGGGCACGTGCACGGCTTGGCATTCTATAGTTAAAAGCGCCAAGATCAAGGAGATGGCCAGGTCTGCAACACCACTGACGGCTACGAAGGTGACGAAGTTCCGTGATGCTGAAATGGAGAGTATGGAGCGGATGTTGAGCACGTGGATTGACGACCAGACTCAGCGCCTTAAGACACAGTGAGAAGGGTGAGGTGGCTGATGACCTCAGCCTCCTCTCATCCCAGTAAACCTTCACCCTCTCCCCTAATGCCAACTTCAGCAAGCTAGCAACACAGCTCATGAGAGGTAAATTAACAGTCTACGTTTAAAACTTACCCCACACACACCTACACACATAAGCATTCAAACACACGCACTCAAACATGTAAAGTATACTGTACTTGTAAACATATACGCCTAATAAACTCAAAGTGTTTGTTATTGATGTTGTTACGACCGTGTTGTATTTTTCTATTTTTTTTATATAACATGCTTCCATGTTGTTCCATATTATTCCTGTAATGATGTGTTATATTTACTATTATATAATCTAGTCACCTTACCCTGTGCTGTTAAGGTGTTAACTGTTATTACTTGTTCAAGCCCATCTTATTTCTTCATTTAGTATTGTAACAAGCATTCTTTGTTTCTCTAAAGACCATCTGCATCGTTAAACGACCCATGTTTCACAGGCTGGCCGCATTGGCGGGAAACGACCCTATATATAGTACTCCACCTGTAGACAGAGTTCAGCCCAGTCCTCCTTGTCATTCAGTTCACGTTCTTTTGAGTGACATCCGTCACCTGTTACTTATACTTATTTTATTTGTGTTGTTCCTGTCGCCACCAATGTGGTATATCTATGTGAGTACCTATTCATGTCTCTTATGTGTCCATCAGTGCTTGCTTAGTCACATTTAAGTAATTCAGTGTTGTTTCACGATAGTTAATTTCAGTGTTAGTTATTTATATGTTTAGGCAGTGTTAACGTGATCCAATGCTTTATTTTTATTCTATATATTTAAGCGGTTCTTTTGATGTTTCGATGTTTAGTATCATTTGTGTCTTAAAGGTTTCGATAGTGAATCAATTTGTTGTGACAACCTACGAGGCTCTTTATTGTGTTAATATTTAATTTAATTAAATTCTTAAAGGTTTACTTTATTTATATTTATATTCCCTTTTGATTTACTTCACTTTCTTTTTGTTTACGCCTAGAACCTGGTTATTAAAGTAAATTAAGAGACGGCGTAACAATGTTTATTTGATATTATGCCTTTGTTTCTCTTTTCATTTTATGTTCTAAATGTATTGAATAAAACAAGTGTTAAAATCAGATGGCCGTGACCACCGCGATGCCCGTATCCCCCGTTAACATTATTTCTTATGGGAGAAATTGCACCACTATTCGCAACGAGTTTCATGCCCGAAACCTTTGAGATAAGTGAGGCAGCCCTGTATTTATACCATATGTACAGTGGGGTATGCTATAACGAACGTAATTGGTTCCAGAACCTCGTTCATTATAGCATTCGTTCGTTATAGGATTAATCCGTTCCAGGCCCCCAAATACAACCACTTAACACTGGAAAAATTCTGTGGAAAATGTAAAAAATACGGTACTTTATCTTACCTTAGTGTTATTCAGCATGCAGGTACCCCTAAACACTGGCACATCACTTCCACTGGGAGTCTTGGCTTTAAGGTCCTCAAACAATTGTCTGGCCTTCTCACAAATTATAGCTTCACTAATGTTACCACCTGCCATTTCTTTCTCCTTTATCCACACTAAGAGTAAATTTTCCATCTCTTCAATCACATTACACCTTGCTTTGCTAAGTCTAAAGATTCCCTTAGCCACTTGCACAGTTTTTAACTCCTCTTTATTCTTCAAAATCGTACATATAGTCGATTTAGCCATCCCATATTCATCACTAAGTTTCGCAATGCTTCTTCCATTCTCACGTTTCTTTATAATTTCTTTCTTAGTTTCAAGGGTTATTAGCTTTCTCACTCGCTTTGGACGACTCATTGTTACAATTGTATACTTGTATAACAAAATAGTTATACAAATAACGCGAATTTCCACATCAAAAGACAAAATTTCAACAATAACAGTGGTGCACAATGAGACAAAGATGGCGCCTGACGCTCTTGTTGTGGGTCGCGGTACAACAATATTCATGCGCCAGGCGAAATAGTCCCGTATTCATCCGCGTTCGTTGTAGGAGTTGCGTTCGTTATAGCATTCTCAATTTTATAAGTAAAACCGTTCGTTATAGGAATATTCGTAGTAGGATCCGTTCGTTATTGCATACCCCACTGTACTGTGTTTTGTACACTTCGGGAGCCGGCAAGAAAAACTCACGAATTTTGCTATCTTGCGAGGTCCATTTTACCTCAACCTAACAAGCATTAACGGAATACTTTATTCACATCATGCATCTGGATTTTGGGGTAATATTTAGAAATTGCCAACACCTACTTATATATTGAGTCTTGTATAGGAAGAAAGAGAAAAACTAAAAACAATTTGTTCTATAACATTTCTGTTGTTCAAAGATGGCTGCACAACAAACTATAATAAATCTATTGTATTAATCCTTAAGCTTTATGCCACTACTACTTGAGAAAATATTAATACTGTATTGTTGCCTGAACTATTTTAACCCTATGGTGGATTTCAATTTTACCAACAACTGAAAAAAAATCAGTACAGTAGAGTATATGTATTTATACAAGTACTGTATTAAGATTACCTTATATTCTTGGCAGCTCTTGGCGTTTTGATGGCTGCTATGGTTGTCATGGTTCGAATGACACCTCTTACGACAAGGGATGCCATTATCCTTATACGAGTCCTTGAATGATTTTTAGAACCTGAAATATGAAAGTAAAGTTATGAGCCTCCCAAAAAATAAATAAATACAGTACAGGCATTGAGTTCTATTATAAACATGACACTCAACATGTATGACTTGTTATTGATTGTTTTTTGTACTGCTTCCCTTGGTAAAGATAATTTTATTTTATTTTTTTATGCAAGTTAATGTATGATTTACAGAAGGTATTATAATGTACCCACACTATCATATGACAGCTATTGATATTAAAGTAAACTCTTGATAACCCAGCATTCGATATTTCGTAATTTCATGTAATTCGGCAAGTATATGGTTTCAGAATTTATTATAATATAACTCGGGAAATGTCGAGTTATATAAAATTATCTTGGAAGATCTCGTCATATTTGGTAGCCTGGGTAACACTCTCCGCACTGCACTCCAAGTTAGGTCAGTCTGCTATTTGTTATTGTTGTGTTCGGGTGTGTGCTGGCTCACTCCAACCAGTACAGTACATGGATGTGGGAAAGGAGGGTGATGTAACACCAAAATATTTTGGGTATAAAGTACTATACATTGTACCACAGAGTATCTAGGGCAGTGCTTCTTAAACTTTATTAATGCCATTCACCCTCAGGTCAGAATAACCAAATTTCATTCACCCCATACTTAACTTCCTTATATATACAGCTCCTCCCCAACTTACGACCTACTCGACTTTCGACCACCTGCACTTACAACCTGCCTCAGTCGTACCAAAATTTTGACAAATTACATATTTTCGAGTCCCAACGTCAGTGATTGCGCTGTGTACTGACAAAATTATCGTTTGTAATTCACTTTAAAATGGCTGGCAAGCTTAAAAGTGAGTTTTGTGGTGCTGAGAAGAAAAAGAGACGCCCATTTTAGATTTTCTATGTACGTATTATTTAAGCATTTTCGACTTAAGACCTGGATTTGGGTCCCTAACCCTGTCGTGTGTGTATATATATATATATATATATATATATATATATATATATATATATATATATATATATATATATATATATATATATATATATATATATATATATATATATATATATATATATATATATATATATATATTACCCGCCTAACTTGCGGTTTTCATAGCGTTTTATCATATATCGTTGCCTCGCCAGGCCTGAACTTTCACTTAACACGGATTTTTTCCACATATACGCGTGAGTGTCCGGCTGAGACGCTATTTTTAGATTTGCCCCACCGCCACCTGCCTGACTGCCTGTTTTAGCTCATAAAATTCATACAAATTACCGGCCAGAATATAATTTACATTGCTGGAATTCTTATAATTTGGTGATCATTTTGAATATAAACATCATATATTTTGCATTAAACATACAATTTTTAGATAAAAAATTTTTCTCTAGGTAACTATGGTATCTTTTGTGCAAAATATATGACATTTATATTCAAAATATTCCTGGTCTTACAAGGAATCCAGCAATGTCAATTATATTATCCTAACTTTAATCTGAGGTATTATTTAATACTAAATGTTAAAAACTCTGGAAGGGAGGATTGGTGGGGGGTGGGGGGGAGGCTGAAGGTGGGGTACTTTGATTGACAGATAGTGTCGTGAAGATTATTTTTTTTTTATTAACTGAAGATATTTGTTTTAGCTCATAAAATTCATACAAATTACCCGGTCAGAATATAATTTACATTGCTGGAATTCTTATAATTTGGTGATCATTTTGAATATAAACATCATATATTTTGCTTTAAACTTACAATTTTTAGATAAAATTTTTTCTCTAGGTAACTGTTATCTTTTGTCCAAAATATATGACATTTATATTCAAAATATTCCTGGTCTTACAAGGAATCCAGCAATGTCAATTGTATTATCCTAACTTTAGTTTGAGGTATTATTTATTAAATTTAGTGGTTTTCCCCCAAAAATTTCTCTGAGAGGGAAGAGCCAGTGAGTGTAGTGTGAGAAGAGGGGGAGGGAGTTGAGTCCATTATTTGAATGGACATTAACTTGGCGACTGTATTTCTCTATTTCTCTTAAGTATTAATTGTGTGCATGTACCATCATAAAATTAAGATGTTATTTTTACTACAACATAGGTATGTGCCTTCAAAAAGTGGAGTTTGGGGGTCGGGCCGGTTTCTATTGGAATTAATCCCATATGTTCTGTTGTTCACTTAACGCGGATTTCACTTAACGCGGGACCCTCTGGGTTCAATTGACGCGTTAAGTGGGTACAACATATATACACACCTGATCATCGCTGGTTAGCGTCCGACCAAACAACGTCCGATCGCATATCGTCCGTGCCCCCCCATAAAAAAAAAATTTGTGATGCCTGCTGGACCACCACTCCACGACCCCCTGACGGAGACACGATGATCCTCCCCATACTGGTCAGATATTATGTGTTAAAGGAATATGCTTCCTATCTTAGGCTATTTTTAAACATTTGCCTCCAAGTGTAATGTTAACCTACATCTATTGAGGATAAAATCTTTCACCTACAAATTGATAATAACACATTTGCTGTAATCAGACATATCTAGTTGCCTCAACAATTGCAACCCCAATTGCAATTGGGGTTGCAATTTCAAATTCTGTGGCATTACTAAGTATAGTGAAGTCTCTGGTGCACTCTAAGATTCAGAGAGAAAACGGAGGACTCAGGCGTCCTGATGTGAGAGAAAACGGACTCGTATGATGGGGGACCAAATAAAAAAAGCATAGCTAAATGTTTTGTGGACTACAGTATTAAGCGTAGCCTTTTCATCACTTTGTAATAAACCTAGCCATGCCTATGTGTGTTTATGATATTTACCATAACATTATATATATATTTAGTGGGTATAAATGGTCGTAAAATGGGAATATGGGGGTTGAGTCTTGGGTGCCTGGAACCATTTAGAATAAATCCCATAGGTTCTGTACTTTCGTTATCGGCAGGGTCCCAATTAGGCGCTATAACCAAGGGATGACTGTACTGTACTGTATATACTTGTGACACTGGCCAGTTGCTTCTGGTGTTATGGTACAGGGGTACCAAGTGACAGCACTAGGATCCCGCTTCCTCTATCAAGGAATAAACAATTAAAATTTAAATTGAGAAAAAAAAACATTCAAATAATGGACCTAGCGAAGTCACGTATGCATCGCGTATTCTTATAGATTGTGCTGCTAGGCGTACGTTATCTAGTGAATTTAGTCAATATTGTACAGTAACAATGGACCTAAGTGCAAACCTGTATTGTACATGTACTAAATGATTACGGTACTAAAATTGTTATGTCTACTGCAAAAAAAGCTTGTTTATACAGATATTCAAATAAATTACTATCTTACAAGAATCCCTCCAATGTAAGTTATATTCACCCAGGTCATTTGGGTGGCAAATTATGTGAAGAGCTTAGTCACTCTTAAGTAATGATAAATAAACACTCAGGCAGGCCTTCAGCGCCAACTGTCAAATCTTATCTCAAATAAATAAACAAACAAACGCCAGACATTCTGTCACCTCCCCCCCCCCACCGTCTTCCCACCCTCCTTGTGTTGTTCCCAGACAAAAGATTGGTGATTTCTTTATGTTTATTTTATATAATATCTCAGACTAAAGTTAGGATAATATAATTTGCATTGCTGAAATCCTTGCAAGACAGAGATTAATTTGAATATAAGCATCATATATTTTGCTCAAGATATAAAAAATGTAGTACATTAGTGTACAATACTGTAGTACATTTTATAAAAAGTTTTTCAACTGTATTTGTGGGTAGATTTACATAAATTTCTTCATTTATTTTCATCCATTTACATGCACACACCATACTAAAAGAAAAGTAAAAGAAATAAATGACCTTAGTGCAAAGCTGGAGTGCACATGTACTAATTTGATTACGGTACTAAAATTGTTATGTCTAGTGCGAATTACAACATGTTTATATTCAAATAAATAAGTATCAAACAAGAATCCCAGCTATGTTAATTATATTCTCCTAGGTTATATCACTGGCATTTTAAAATGAGAGAAGCTTAGTAGGACTGTTAAATAAACACACAGAGACCTTCGGCTCAAACTTATCACCTCAACCCCCTTACCCCCCCAACCCCTCGCTGACTGGCTGGCTCCGTCAGTCCCTCCCTCCCTCCCCCCCCAGCCTTTTAGGTTTACAGTTTTTATCCCACTTTCCGCTGTAATACGTACGTCATTTCAGCAAAAATATTACATTTCCATATTTATTTCTGAGAATATATTCTTTCAGTCACAGTTAAGGTAAAATATACTTGTGATGTAATATTTGAATGAAAATATGGTACCGTAGTTTTCTTTTGTTTCAAATTTAATTAACAAAGATTGATGTTTCAAATGTAATGATAAAAAATTTATGTACAGTATCTATAAATAATCTATAAAAGATGAATACTTTGTTTTACATCGTCCTGTGCATACCATACCATACCATGCATTTGGCTACTTTGGGCTTGCTATGATGACGCAAGAGATCTGCCCTGGCAACTGTACCGACACTCACAGCTGGTGATGCGTTGGTGCGTCGTTTCCATTGTTTACTGGTAGTTACTGGTAAATATTTTTCAACCTAACAAAACTATTACCCGCTTAGAGGTCAACCCCCAAGTTTTTGCCAAATAATTTGGTCTTAAAAACTCGAACTACACACAGGTAATATACGGTAAATAAGGACATGGGGGGGCCAGGGGTTTTTAGGGAGGAGGGGGCAGCAAAAGTACACAGATTTTTAACATTCACGGGTATCTCTGATACCTAACCCCCGCGTATGTTAAGGGCCGACTGTACTGTACTTTATTCTACAGTGTTTTAGTCGGAAATTTAGATGTTTCAAGCTTTTTTTACTTTTCAATTTCACTTAAAAAATAGAATTTGGGTCACACAAAGTGGGCAGGGCTTGGAAGTAGAGGAAAATTGTAGGGTAAAAACAGATGGAATAGTGATGTGTTGTTGCCAAAATCGTAGCCAAACTAAAGAGTAGCATTAACCA